ATAGTTATTTAGACAATTTTGGATATGGATTTGGTTATAATAATCTATTATTAAATCAACAATTTCTTCAAAAAAAATTGACATTTTTACATATTTTATAATTAATTGATTTTTATGAATTTGAAAATCAAACTATTTATCCAGCATTTAATTTAATTGAAAAAATCTTACTCGTGTTGGTCAATTTTCCTATATCTGATATGTTTGTTATATTGATTTTTTTTATAAAAATAATAATTTTGTAAATATATTTAATATAATAAAAAAATTTGGGGGGAAGAAAAAGAATAAAGAAAGGAAATCAGTTTAAAAAAAAGGGAAATTTCCGAAAAAAATGAAAATTTTATTAACTGAAATTGGATTAGTTGATTGGAATGCACACGGATCGAATAGTTTTTGACCATAAATAGATCAGGCGGAGGCTTGTCACGGGTTTTAATTATATGGCATGGGATTTCAAATTACACAATTCAAATTATTTATACGGAGACTAATCCAAACATTAGAAATTTTTTTAGTTATATAGATTTTTTTTTTTTAATAATCATTTTTTTTTTAAATAATAATTTATTAGTAAATAAAGCTTTACTATTTGGTTTTCTCTTTTAGATGGTTCTTATTATCTTATAACACAATGAATGAATCGAATGGCAGCTCCCCTGCTAATAAGTCAATTTCTTGTTAACTTTTAAACTTTTTTTCCAGTGAAAATCTTCCCTTTCGCTCTTTACCTTTCATTTCCCATTTCTTTCCTTCATTTTTCTCTTCATTCCTTCTCCCTTTATTGTTTTATATCTTTTTTTTAAAAAAAGATTTTTTTTTCTGTTAAAAAAACTCTGTTTTATAATTTGCTTAAAAAAAAAATTTATATTTTTTACCCATCATATTTTTAATTTTTTTTTTATAAAAAAATAAATTTCGTTTTTCTTCTCTTATCTTTTCCTTTTTCTCTCGTATTTTATTTAAAAAAGAGTTGAAGAAACTCACAAAAAAAGATTAAATTCTATAACGATAATGAAACATTATAAAATTTCATTTTTTAGGCGTCTCCTATATGAGTTTAGAAAAATTTTTTTTTCTTTTTAAAATTTATTTTAATGGACGGTTACTAATACAGTCAAACCTTGATATAGCGAACCCTTGATATAGTGAATTTTTCAGACAACTATAATAAATTTCCCCTTGCTATAACGAATTAACCAATCAAATCTCTTAAAATCTTCACTATAGCCCTATAGCGAAGTTGAGGTCTGGAACCTAGGGTTCGTTATAACAAGGGTTGACTGTAGTTCTTTTTTTTTTAGGAACTCTTCAGGTCTCTTTGGATGCGTGGGATCTCATTTTTGATTAACGAAATGTATGTTAACATTTCAAATTTTATCTTTTTATTAGACAGGATAGACACATGGGAAAGAAATTGGGGTTATATGTCTTTCGAATTTAATTCTTTTGTTTTAAGTGACTTTTCTTCAGGTCATAATGTGGGAATAATAATTTTTTTAAATTTTTTTTTTACACCAGGCAATTTTTTTTTCAAAAACTAATATTTTGGAAACTGGTTCAGAACTTTAAGACATTTTTGAAAGTTTTAAAAAATTATTATTTATGGACTAGGCGACCAGCTCAAAATTGGATTTTGAAGCTTAAGAAGTATCAGGTCTTTGAACGTCAGATTTTGATTATTTTTTTTCTTTTGAAACATTTCTTCAAATGAAATGGTTACTAACACTTCATTTTTATCTTTTTTTTAGACAGCTTGTTTTTGGGTCTGAACGTATGGGATCTCGGTAAAGAATCACCTTTCGTTTAATTGGTTTTAATTTTTTTTAACAAAACATTGCTAATGTTTTGTCTTCTAGATGAATCATGCGCATTTAAGAAGATAAATCACTTAAAAAGTATCACAAAGCATATCAAAACTAACTGATTGAGAAACGCGTAGGATTTTGTGGGTCATTCACATTTTTTTTAATTTGTTTCTTTCAACAAATTCTTCTTTTTTTAGACAGGTTTAGAATTATGGAATCTCTACACGAATGGTCAAAACAATTCAAANTAATAACAACAATTAGAAAAGAATGAAATTGTAAAATTTTTTTTTTTTTTTTTTTTTTTTTGTTGAAATGATTTCTAACGCTAATGATTTATCTTTTTTTTTTAGACGACTTGAGAACTATGGGATTTCTGATGGGAAATGCTAGGAGTCTCTTTGAACACGGATTTTTTTTAACAAACTTTATTAACAGTTTGTTTTTCTTTCTTTTTAGGTAGTGGTATCCTTAAAAATATTGAATGCAAAGTATGATCTGGGCAATGGCCAGATACCGGACATGTGATATCTTTGGTAAAGTATTGACCTCTTTTTAGTTATTTTAATGTTTTTAATGTTTTTAACAAAATGTTTGTTAACATTCTACACTTTCTTTTAGGTGACTTTTTTGGATCTTTTTTGAATTTGGACTTGTATAAACAAGTTATATCACTATCCTCTAACATAAGTACCAGTAAGAATAAATAAAATTTCGTGAAAGACATAATTGACGCACATTTTTAAAATACAATTAGGTTACGAATGAAAGACTGGCAAAAGTCTTTTAGTAGTTTAATGATGAAATATTGAGGATAGCCACAATTTTAGATATAATTCATGTGCGAAATATGTATTTTTTCTATTTATTTTCTGAAACTTCAAAATTTCAAAATGAAATATTTAATATACTTTACAGAAACCCAGTATTTTGTCACTAATTAGTCACGTGATCGCGTCAGGTTAGTCTGAAATTCGCATCGATTACGTAACTGAATATTATTTCAACGATATCAGTACGAATCGTCACGAAACACAAACTATTAGGATAACTTTTCGTCTCGAAATAGTAGTGAACTATAATAAATGTATCTAAAAAAATAGCAAGTAATTAGAAAATTTGTCAAATAAATTAATTTACAATATGTATAAGAATTTTTAACGATTATTTAACCATAAATCAAATAAATCGAAAATAATTATATTTTATAAATTAATATTTTATAAAAAAAATAATAAATTCATTTTAATTAATACAAAATTAATAATTTGTATAACATTACACATTACAAAATGAATTAATTAAGTTTAAATTTTTGCGAATATTGCAAATTATTCATTAATTCAATTAATTCAATTATTACAATTTATAAAAATACTAATACAAATAGTAAAAATTTATAATTTTAAATTACTAGCGAAATTTTGACCATTTCGTGATGGCACTGCAATGTCTTTCGTTATTTTATCCAGAGCTTTCGTTCCTTCAGTGTCTTTTAATGAATAATTAATAGCGAACGTGTGCCGAATAAATTTACATAAGTAATACATAGAATTTTTAGCTCGCAATTCATCCAAATTGGTGGCATTTATCCACCAGCTTAGCACGTGTTCAGCCACAGACTCGTCTACAAAAGTGACAATTTCTTCTTTTTTTAATAGACCCACCACAGTCCTACAATTAATAAAGAATATTATTCAGAAAATATGTAAAAAAATGTATATTTTTAGAAATAGAAATAGAAATTGCCTTTTTTCCTTGAAGTTATCAATCAAATCCACTATACCATTGACTAATTTGTTACGGAAGTCACCAAAGTGTCTATTTGCTGTATGAAGCCATTCAATGCCTTCAGCAGAATTGAGTTCACATTTGATGACCTTCCGTATCAATTCTTCAAGCACACGTTTCTGAGGATTCCGAACGCGGAGGAAGAGACATTTTAGCTCCTCCAGAAAATCACGACAAGACTGCATCTTATTCTCTTGATGTTGTGGCATAGTCAAGGATCCAGGCGTGGTAGAAGTCATTAATCGTAAGCCTTTTACAACTGGCGTTTGCATTGATGAATGCATATTATTTGCCAGCTGCAGAATATCAGGGTTCGCACATAACCACGAACAAAGCTGGTAAATAGTCATTTCATCAAATGGTGAAGGAACAACTTTAGTGGTTGTGTCAAAATGATGGCGTGAAGTATTCATCATATTACGGGTATTATTTATAATATTAATTCTATTTTCTCTTGAATCTGAAACTGATGATGAATTTCTATTCAAATGAATGTATTCATTTGAAATATCATTTCTTAAATCTACTGCTGATCTCGTTCTATGTGAAAGAACAAATTCATTCCTTGATTCTAGAACTGGTGATACCGTTCTTGAAGTTCTAATTAAAGGAACAAATTCATTCCTTGATTCTAGGGCTGGTGTTGATTCATTTGAAGAAATATAATCAAATGAATTATTGGCCCTTGAATTTGAAAGAGCATCGTCCTTTTGATTTTGACTATTGGTTCTTGTTAAAAGTGTAATTATTGGACTTTGAGGTGTAGTTTCATGAAAATTGTTTTCATCTTCATTTCGCTTGTCACCATCATTTAGATCATCATTTGCATTAAAATCAGCATCATCACACAGGAGTTCACTTATTATTTGTGATGCTGGAGGAGCAACCATTTCTTGTTTCTTTTTGCGACCTCTTTTAGCACCTTTGCTTTTACTTTGTTGAGAATTAGCATCATTCAAAAGATCATTAAGGTTTTCTAAAGATGGAACAACCATCTCTTGTTTCTTGCGACCTCTTTTATTTATATTATCTGTTGTTATTTTATCATTTGCACGTTTCTTAGCGTTTCTAGAATTCATGATTATTTCTGTAATAATTAATAGGAAAAAATAAAATATTATTATTACTTTTATAGATGAGATTTATTTACAGATTACTTTTATAAATAAAATTAAACTTTTTTTTTTTGAAAGTTTATTTAGTGATAATCGTTATTATTATTAACCTTAAATATTTCCCTCAAAAGTCTAATTTATTTATTGATATTATATAAATAAAATTATACTTTCTCTTGCAAATTAACTTTTTAGATTGCAATATTACAAAATTAGGTTAACGATTTAAGTTTAGCAAACTTTATTTTTATATAATAAACTATTAGTAAGCTTGCTTCTTATGTAAATAAACTTTATTCGATGTAAAAATTTTTTATCAAATAAAAAGTGATTGTAAATTAAACTTTATAAAAAATAATATTTCTTTCCATAAAACAATTAATATTAATTCATTAAACAATATATAATATAAACTCCTTTTTGCAAGATTTTTTTTTTATTTTTCAAATGTTTCGCAATCGTTACGTCTCTTTTAATCATCGTCAAAATTATATAAGATACCCACATAATACATTTAATGTGTCTTTGGATGATGAAGAAAATATTAATGAAGAAACTGACTATGTTGAACCAAATAATTATGAGACGCCAAATGAAACAGAAACTGACTATAATGAACCAAATAATTATGAGTCGCCAAATGAAACAGAAACTGACTATGATGAACCAAATAATTATGAGTCGCCAAATGAAACAGAAACTGACTATGATGAACCAAATAATTATGAGTCGCCAAATGAAACAGAAACTGATTATTTAATACCAAATGAAAACTTACTTAATGAAATATTAAATGATGAAATTGATGATGAAATTGATTATGAAGATTATTTTGATGATGAAATACTGAACGATAATGAAATGTCAATAGATTCTAACAATGGAACTCTAAATGAAGAAGAACCTGATAAAATTGTTGATAAGGCATTAAATAGTGAACAAGTACCATCTATGAGTGGAGTATTTGCGCCATATTTTGAAAATTTTACCAGTACATTACTGTTTTGCTGGATTCAAAACCACAACATATGTAAGTCAAAATCACTTTATAAAACTAAATTAACAAAAAGCTTAAATTTTATGTATATTCAATAGCTACTCAAGCTTATGATGAATTAGTAGATATAATTCGTCATCCACAATTTAAAAGAGAAGATGTTGTAACAAACATTCGTCAGTTTAGAAAGTATCGGCAAAGATTACCTTTACTTCCAATTAAAACACGAAAAATTCATATTTCAAGCCAAAAAACACCATCTACTTCCCAAAATATCAAGGAAATGTATTATCTATCCATTACTGATATCATTTGGCATTCTCTCAATAACCCTTCATTATTTAGTAAAATGTACTTTGGACCAGGCCAAATAGTCAAAAGAAATCGCGAACTTTGGCATGGGACCATATGGAAAGAATCCCCACGATTTGGGCATGCATCTTTTCAAATGAATGGAAGTACGTGATATATTATCCTGCTTATTTTGTTTTAAATTTAGATAATTAATGAATAATAAACAATGATACTAAGAACAATGATTGTTTTATTAATTTTTATTAATTTTTAGCAACATACAATTGTGGAGAGTTTATAGTTTATAAAGAATCAATAACAAGAAACAATTTTGGTCAAATCTTAGCAATAGTGGATACAGATGGCAAGCTCAAAATATTAGTTCAACGTATTATACAATTTGCCGAATTGCCAACCAACTTGCAAAGCAGAAATCGAAGAGAAAGATCATATAATGAAGTGTGGCTGTTAGATCGAGAAATGGAAAATGCAATCATAATAATTGAATTACAAAAGATTGTTAGACTTGCCACAATAATTATTCTCTACAATGAAGACAATATTAATAATATTACTTCAATTTTTATTCGTGAAATTTTATATAAACATCAAGGGCATTGGAAATTAAGAAATGTTGCATATTCTTATCGCCATCCTTCAGAATTTGCTGCATTAGATGAGCTGGTAACAAATCTTCCAATCTATAAGCTATATATTGACTTATATTACGATGATTTTGGAACATTTAGAAATGTATACCATTCATTGGGTGGTGTCTATGTTCAAATCGGAAATTTGCCTTTTGATAAAAGGAAACAACTTAAAAATCATTTTGTCATTAGTTTTGTCCCATTTGGGGTTCTTTTAATGAATTCATTTGGCCTTTTGTTGATGAGATGAAGCAGCTGGAAAAAGGAATAATAATGGATGTACAAGGAAATAGAAGCTTTGTTATTGCTAGTCTTGGAGATGTAACTGCTGATTTACCACAAGGAAATGATTTAGCTGGGGTTAAAAGACATAGTGCCATAAAAGGATGCCGTACATGTAATGTATCAAAGGATTTTTGGACATCTGAAGGTCTTGATTTATCATTAGTTTCTCGTTATCATCATATTACTAATAACCAATTTGAAGAAATTTCATTAGCAGCAAATATAACAAGAAGTAATGAAATTGCTACAATGTATGGATTACGTCTACAGCCATCAATACTCGATGAATTAAAAAGAGAAAGGCATCTTCAGTCACCACAAGATGTCTATCATCTTACATCTGGCAAAGTGTTAAAATTTCTCAAGATAACAATTGAAGCACTTTCACTGGAAGGAAAATCTGAATTCATCAAGTTTTGGAAATCATTTGAATATCCAAGAATATGGCAAAAACAGGACCCAGAAATATATATATAGGGGTCAGGTGGCGAAAAATTTTTTTACTATGAGCTGTACGCAGAGACTTTTTATATGAGTAGTATGCATAATTGACACCTGATATTGAAAATCCTGCAAAAATACGCAAATAAAATTTCAGACATTAAGTTATTAATTATTTTATCATGGCTTCTATATTATAAATACTAATGTGAAAAATAGAATTTACCATTTTTTTAATAATATTTTTCTAAAATTTCACTTTTTAACCCTTAGAAATTTCTTACAATTCGGTTAATTAAATAAGTACGTACAGTAAATATATTATATATATAAGATTAGCCAAATTTAGGTCAAAAATACGCAAACTAATTTTTTACATATAAAAAAATTGATAAAAAATACGCAATCTTGATGACCTAACTATAGATGAAAAATTCTAAAATTGTACGCAAATCAAAACTTTACTCCGTCTAATTCCACTATGATGGCGACGCATCTGTGTACCCTACCCCTGTATATATATTTCTGGGTCCTGCAAAAACTACCAAATCCGATTTCTCATATTGATAGTTTTATGATGTCAGATTGCTTACATTTGGCCATGATGATACCATTTATTCTTAATAGATTCTTAAAGCCCACACACTTCAAAAAACTTGAACTTGCTTTATTTCAACGACAAACAGGAGTTTCCCGAAGTGATTTAGCTGTGAACTTTTGGATAAAATGTTGGGTATTGATGGCAAGAACAATGACAATAGCATTTAAACATTCTTTTACAGAAGAGGATTATATTCAATTGCATGAATGTTTAGATAGTGAAAGAAAATTATTTTCGCAGGTAATTAATAAATGTTGGAATTACGCAATGATTATGAGTTGTATTATTTATGTTGCTTATTACAATAATTACAAACAGGCATTTGAAGATTTCGAGAATCTTCCAAATTTACATGTTAATTATCATTTATTGCTCCACGCAAGAAATTATGCAACATTGTTAAATACAGGTGTAGGGACAAAAGAAATGGTGCACCGCATATTCAAAAATATTGTAATACGAATAAATCGAAAGAATATTGAACTTGACTTATTAAAACGATATACAACATTATTTGCAATACGCCATCTATTTGATGGAGGTATTGATAAACGATTTTCTTCTACAAATAATGCTTTAACAAACCTTCCATATCACTTAAAACGGTTGATGAATGACTGGTTCATTGTTGAAAAACCCTTTGATCCTGAAGAAGATATAAGCAATGGTTTGGTTAAAGTTTCTTTATTGAATTATATGAATTTTTTAATTAATAATCTTATGTTAGATATTTACTATTTCTTCACTAGATGAATATATTTCAAATATAGTTTTAAAGAAGCGTATACCAAAAAAATATGCTGAAAAAATTGTGCCAAACGATTCTGGCTTTCGTAGAGAATTGGCATCAGTATACCAAGAAATGGGCTATGAAGCGGCATTTTTTGAAAGTTCATGTCGATACTATGAACTTATTTGTTTTTCAGTAGAAGATAATGGAATTAATACACAATATCGTCTGCATGTCGGTGATGTTGTTACCACTATTTCCGAAGAAGAAGGTGAAACTTTTGCACTTCTGCAATCAATTTTTAGCCATAAAAGGAATAATCAACGTTTTGCCTTTATTGTCATTGATAAGTTCGAAATTACTAATCAAAAGAAGTTAGAATGTCCAGTTTATAGGCTTCGGGATACACAAAGGATCCGTCCTATAAGCGAACTTGATACAAATAGCACAGCGCATTTTATTCATTATTGTAATGATGATGAATGTATCAGCGGTAGTTGTCACGATTTTGGGAATGATTTATATATAAAAAACATGTATTTCTTCAAAGCTATATAATATATTATCACTTCGCTACAAAGTATTATATATTACATGAACAATTAGCAACAAATCATTTACTAATTCTTTACGAAGTATTTACTAAATTTTCGTAATAATACTATTAATTTTTGCGATATATTTACTATATATTTACAAAGTATTTACTAAATTATATTAATAAATTTATTAATTCTTTGTGACATATTTTCTATATTTTCACTAAACTTTAAACCGTATTTATAAACTATCTACTATACATTTAAAAATTTTAAACTAATTCGTAACAACTTGTACAATAAATTCTTTATAAACAGTGTCGAGGTCGTGAAATTGCATGTAGACTAATACTGACTACATATTAACTAGTATGATACAAAATCGTTTCAAATTTATGGCTAATAACTATATTATTTAGTCACGATTTGGTTACAATATATACACGATTTAAAACATTTCTGTAAAGTAGTTTACTATTTATTTACGAATTATTTTCTAAAACTTCACAATTTCAAAATGAATAATTTAATAAATATTTAATAATAGTTTACTATTTATTTACGAATTCGAAAACACAATTTTACATTTATTTACAAATTTCAATAACCCATTTTTACAATTTCGATCAAATCAGCTGACGATCGTCTTAATGTGCAGTTCGATACTAAATTATAACTTTATGAGACTAAATCGTGACCAAATCTTGATTAAAGGTTTCACGATAAATTTTCGATATGGTCAATATATGGTTTCGATTTTAAAAGTTTCTGTAAAGAGATAGAGGAATTTGACGCTAACAATGAGAAAATGAAGAAATATCTTGCGAAAGAAGACAAGAGGGAGGGTTAATTTAATTTTAAGGTTCAACAGTAAAAAGGCGTAACTGTTAGTTAATGCAATTGCCGAACTAAAAGAGTAGGTCGGTAACATTGTTCTTAGTTGGGAAGAATAACAATGACGTGGTATGGCAGGAGTGACATCTAATTCGATGGACATAAATGTAGGTTATACGGGTTTTGCCGGTGTAAGTTCTGCATCTTATACTAATAAAATTCGGTAATAAATACCATTTGAAACAAAAAATATATATATATTCGAAGAAAAATAGTATAGGAACATGAAAATACTAAAAAACCATGAAATTACTAAAAAAAACAATGAGACATAATGCCTGACTCAGAAAAATCAGAAAACCGGGGATTTCTTATCATAATCGCGTTATTTTACTCAAAATCTCATAAATTATAATTCAAAATAATGCTTTACATCCATCACTATTATGCAAACTTGAGCTGCTTTACGTTTTTAGCACTTTTTACTGCTTTCACTATGACGAATTTTTCAATCACCATTATTAGGATCGATTTTCATTCCTTTAATGCTATAATTACCAAAAGTTGAGATATTACTATTAAAGGAAACAATATTTTGACATACAAAAAAAATATATAGATAAAAATGAAATGATGACTATTATTTACCGGCTTATTTTGTTTCAGAATTCACAAATATATTTTTAAAAGAAATTTAAAGTTTTATAACGCATTTTAATAATGACCTATAATCAGAAAGTTGAAACTGCGCTAGTAGATGATTAAAATTTTTTTTTTTAAATTTTTTTTATTTTTTTATTTATTTTAAAATGATTTGTCACATTCATAGTAGCGAATATCATTATGTCTCTAAATGGACTGGTAAGAAAAGTTAGTATTTACGAAAGATATTATATTATAATTCGAAAAAAAAAAATTTTTCTAGCACAGTGAAATCTTGCTTTTAATGAAAATAATTAAAAGCATAATAGCATGATGTTGTGATTGTTGTGAGCCGAAAAATAATTAGCCGCAACGTCAGTGATCCGGACCCGGCTCAGGCGTAGATCGTCGTGGAACTCCAGGAGATTAAACCGGTCCGGATGATCGGCAATCAGCATCATTATTTGTTGAACGTACGTACTAGGTAGTACATTGTTGCATATTCATTGTTAGTTTTGATGAATTTCGGAGTTAGGACACCGGCTTAACTTTTTTGTTTCAAATTCATATTTTAAAAAGAATTTTAAAGCTTTATAACGTATTTTATTATGTCATATGGTCAAAATAAATTAATTAATAATGCACTTAGGAGGTCATACGCATTAATAGATTACAATGTTCATAATGATATGCACAAACAATATGAATTTCAAAAACAAACACTTCTTGCTGATGAATCACTTACAGAAAATGAAAAATCTGAAGCAATAATAATAATAACTAAAGTTTATGATCTTAACAAACTTACTTTCAATGAAGAAACAAAAAGAATTTGTGAAAATTGTAACCAAGAATGTTTAGCTACAACATATTGTGAATATTGTGTTCGAAATTATTTAAAAGCAAAATTTTCAAGTTGGACATCTGGAAATGATAATATTGATAATTTAATACAAGAATGTCAAATGAAAACACTTGCACCACGTCTAATACCAGAATGGATTCCATATAATAATATTAAAAATATTAAATACCTAGCAAAAGGAGGATTCTCAGAAATTTATACAGCAAATTGGATTAATGGACATTTTATTGAATGGGATTCTAAAAGACAACAATTAAAAAGATTTGGAGAACAAATAGTAGTACTTAAAAAATTAGAAAATGTTGAAAATGCAAGTCAAAATTGGTTTGAAGAGGTTTGAATTTAAAATATTTTAAATTTCATTAATAATATATATCTTAAATTTTAATTATATTTTTTATTTATAGGCTAGATCACATTTAAATCTAAGTAATAAATGGAATGATGTTGTCCAATGTTTTGGATTAACACAAGATCCATCTAACGGGAATTATATGCTCATAATGCAAAATATGAACATAGATTTAAGAAAATATTTACAACAAAATCATAATCAACTTATATGGAAAGAAAAAATTCAAATCACTGCTGAAATAATTGATGCACTATCAAAAATTCATAATGAGAATGCAATCCATAGAGATTTGCATTCTGGAAATATATTATCTAAAAGTGGTAGAGTTTTTATTAGTGATCTTGGATTTTGTGGGCCTGCAAATAAACCATTAAAAAGTATATATGGAAATCTTCCTTATATAGCACCTGAGGTTATTATTGGAAAAGAACAGACTTTTAAATCTGATGTTTATAGTATTGCAATGCTTATGTGGGAAATTTCATCTGGACAACCACCATTTTATAATTATGAACATGATTATGATCTTGCAATGAATATTGTTAATGGTATAAGACCAAAAATTGTACCAGGAACTCCTTTAGAATATAAAAATTTGATGAAACAATGTTGGGATGCTAATCCATCAAAAAGACCTGACATTTTTACACTTGGGGATAAAATGAGAGAAATTAATTATTTTAATCAAACTAAATCAAGCGAATTATCTCAGCTTGAAGAAAATAACAATTTTGAAATGGAAAATTATACTAGCAATAGCAAACTATTTACAAGTAAACTTCATCAATTTGACAATTTTCCTGAACCAAGAAATGCAACAGAAGGTATATATAATATTAATCATTATTAATTTTCAAGAGATTGTTAATATATTAAATTAATAATGTATTATTTTTTAATTTAAATGATGATAGAAGAACAAGAAGGTATAAATTAAGCCATTTCTTATATAATTTTAATTTATAAATATTGATGATTATATATATATATATATTTTAAAGCATTTCATAGTAACAAATCATATAATTTTCATATTCCTGATAATAGTAAGTGCAATTAAATTAAATATTATATAACAAGGCGTTATTTATTGATTTGATTTGCTTTTTTTAGTTGATGATTTTAATAAATCAAATAGTAAGAAAAATAGTACTTCAAAAATAAATAGCTTATTTAAAAGTAATTGAATTGCATTTTATTTTGACATAATAATCAAATGAATGAATAACTTATATTTAAGGTTTTTTAGTTTGCAGCAAAAAGTTATCCAATATATATAAAAGAAGCTTAAAAAATGGCAAGTAAAATAATTTAAAATATGTTAATTTTATTATAATATTAAACATAATTTATTATTTAGATTATTATAAGATTGAATCAATACGAAAGCAAATAAAGAAACTTCATATTAATGATAATGGTATGGTAAAACATTATTTAAATTCTTAAAATAATTATTCTACAGTATTTAATGATTTTTAATTTTATTTTTGATAGACGAAGATGAAGTACATAACAATCCTAACCTTCACTCAGAAGAACAAGATGAATTGGAACTTCCTGATAGTAAGAATTATTTTTAAATTTTTAAAATTTACGTTAAATTACTAAATTTAACGTAATACTTTTTTTTTCCATTTAGATATTTAGATACGGATGAATTATGTAAATTAGATAACATTATTATACCTGATTTTTTTTTCTTATCATAAATTATTTAAACACTATGACTTGATGAGATTTTTTTCAAGACTTCTTAGTTTGTAATTTGAATAATTTATTTTTTTATTTTATTTTTTTCTTTCTTATTATATTATTATACTATTAGTAGCGTAACGCTTTTTTATTTAATAAATCTTAAAGCGTATTTTTAAATTTAAATTTTATAACATTTCATGCATGGTAATATACTGATATGATATAAATAGCGTATAAAAAAAAATAAGTTAAAGTCACGGTGATCGTTAAAATGAATGAAAATTTCTTTGTCGAAATTAGCAGAATATTCATAATTCTGAATCTAAAACACATACAATATCCTTCACGACCGCATCTTCGGTAATATAGAGTTCTCACTAACACCCAACATCTATTTATTTTACATTTTTAAAAGGAAAAAGGGTTTAAAATTAAATTAAGTTATATAATATTCGTTTATTTGTCTGTTATATATTTTTTTTAAATAATTACTTTATATTGATAAAATATTCGCCACTCCGTCTCTTGTTAAATTTATAAATAATCTTATTTTTTTTAAGGGTTTAATGAATAAAAATAAGTACAATGCGTGATAAATGTTTATATCGTAATATATAATGTTTATATGAACTTTTTTTTTTTAATACAAAAAAAGAATGGAAAGAAATTTAAAAAAAAAATATCTACAACTAGGAAAATAAAAATAAATAAAAAAAAAAAAATTTAATAATTTTTTTTTTTTAAAAAAAAAAATAAAATGTAAATAAAAACGAATGAAAAAAATAATAAATTAGTTTTGGTTATGATTATCATGTACTTACTCCACTACTATTACTACTACTATTACTACTTCCAACACTACTATTTTCACTTGATTGTTCATTTTTATCTGACCATTTTTTTAATACTTTTTCCAACATTTTTAAACTGACAGGTTTGGTTAAAAATCCATCAACTCCACTTTCAAAAGTTAGATCTTTATCTTCTTCACTAGCTAATCCAGTTAAAGCAAATATTAAAGAACGAGAACGTTTAGTAATAGTATTGATAGTATTATTTTCAATAATAGGAAATGATGGTGATGAAGGTATTGGTGATGGGGATGGTAAAGGTGATGTTTTGGATTTTGTTGTTGATTTATTAGGTATTTTTATCGATATTTTAGGTTTTAATAATAAACTTGTGATCGAAAATGAATTGTTTTGAAAAGAGAATTGATCAGGATTTGATACTCTTCTTTGTAAAAATCTATTCTTTTGAGTAAATGGTTTTAAATGATTATTAGATTCTGAAACTGGTGATGAAGGAGTAGTTTTGTTAAATAATGATGATGGAGGGAATTCAAAATTTGTAATTGTAGGTGATGCAGCTGGAGATTTAGTGAGTGTCGTATTTGTTGTTGTTCTTGCTCTTGATGATAATGAAAATTTCGGATTGTTGAATTCTTCAATTTTACGTATTTCTGCTGTTGCTAGTTGCTACATTACCGTTCATTACAGGCATTTGTATGTCTATAAACAAAAAAAAATTTATATATAAATATATATATTTTTTAATTAAATACACGTGTACATAGATTTACTAAAAAAAAGCATAAAAATTTACTTACTCATTAATACGATATCAAATCCTTTTCGATCAGGAAATTCTCCATCATCATCTTCTAATGCTTTTTTAAATTTTCAACTCCAATAGCTCCATTTTCAGCTTCATCGAACCTAATACCACGTTTTTTCAAAAATGTAGCTAAAATCATTTTATTAACTGCATTATCTTCAACCACTAAAACTCTAGGTCCTAAATTACAACTCAATGAATTCACTGATTTGGATTTTTTCAATTCATTTAAAGGTGGAGGGTTAATACTGTATTTAGTGATTCTGGCATATTTGGTAACGAAGATGACATTGCAGTAGGCGTTGCACAAGGTGAAGTGAAAAGGGTAAGTGAAAAGGTTGATTTCGGAATAGGTAAAAAATTTGGTTCTTTATTTTCAGATAGTAAATGAAGATTTAGAAGTGTGGTGGAACGGTTAAAACAAGGTAGTAAGGGTGGTGCAGCGGAAAGTAATGATGAATTACAATCAGATTTATCTGAAGGATCATTAATAGTTGGAAAAATTGATGATGTTTTTTCTGAAGAATTATAACTAATATAATCTTTTGAATTATCATCTTCTGATATTGGTGGTGTCATAATCAATTTTGGAAAATATGAATTTTCCTCTTCCAATAATTTTTCTTCTTGACTTGAAAGTACAGAAACAATAGCTTTCTCTAATTTACGAGGTCCACATGGACGTGTAAGGATAACAACTTTTCTTCTTTTTCTTTCTATAAGTTGAGTTTCTTCAATTTCTTTCTGTAATTTTTCAACAAAATCTGCTATTGTTGTATCAGTTCTTTACGCTTAAAAATATTAAGCAATTTGTATGGTTAGGTAGCAGAAGGTTTATGTAGTGTATAGACAAACAATACATCAAAATTTATCCGATCAGACGTGTTGTATAGCGCTGTACGTCGGCATATACTTCCAAACACGAATAAAGGATTTCACTTGATAAAAACTTATCAATTTATAACTTTAAATAAAACTTTATTTATTCCCTAACATTACAACAAGAAAATTGACCTATATTTATAATAAATTATACATATACGAAGAAATTTAATATATTTACTACTATGTATAATATGACTAACATGTTCAATACGTTGATCATAACCAACAGGTTCGACATGTTAATCATGTTCGGCATATTAATTATGTCCGACATGTTAATCATGTTAAACATTTGCAACATCGATCAATTTCGGAGTGGCACATGATGATCGCCGACATGACATCATCCCCTCCCTAATTTTCAACTCCGTTGAAAATTTCCGAAGCTCGTAGAACTAAACCTTGATATTCTTGAGTGTTAAGTTCTCTCAACAATGTTACGTTGGTCTTTTTAGTTCTCATAATTTGTTTGGCTCCTGGAATTTCGAAAATATAAAAAATCCTAATAGCAGAGGTCCTGTAATGTGCAGTTAACTGTCGCACAAAGTAACTGCGCTGCACACTAGACTCAGTCTCCTTTTCCAAAAATCGACCCAAATAATATAAGTGAACAAGCAACAAAAGTCGATTGTTAAAATGCTTAATCCGATTCAAAGCATTACAAAGAATCTCAAATTTTCTTTCAGGCTTCATATTAGGTTCATAAGGAAGTGGAAAAGGTGTTACTTCAACTGGAGTTGTTTGTAGTAAATCTTCTAAAATACTTTGATAGGGTTCCATACTAATAATAAAAATAATAAAAAAAAAATGATCTTCAGTCTAATTATTTGTAATACATTATGTACATATATGCATTACGTTATCACCGTTGATTGTAAAGTTTCAAACGTTCCGAATTTACTGGGGTTTTTAAAATTTCTCCTTGTAATGTCCTTAATTTGTAAACTCCTTTCCCCAAATCCTCGTGAATGTAATAAGGACCCTTCCAACGGTCTTGCAGCTTTTTCTTTCCCCTCAGCTGACTCTTATATAATAATACAAGATCACCAATCTTGTAAAATATTCTCACAAGATTTTCATCATGACGCTGCTTCTGCTGCTGTTGTGCTTTATATATGGCGTCTTGAGTCATCAATCTATCTTCTGTGACTCTTCCAGTAAGCATGCGTATTCTAGCTAATAAATCATCTTGTGAATCTCCTTCATGCAGTTCAGCTTGTATAGTCTTTACTGCAAAATCCACAGGTAGAACGGCATCTCTTCCATACATGAGATAGAATGGTTCGTGATGCGTAGTGCTTTGCTTTCTTACATGATATGCAAACAAAGCAGAGGACACATACATGTCCCAATCATCATGATTTTCATTTGAAAATTTCGCCAATGCCTCACACAATGTCCTATTAAAACGCTCCACAAGACCATTTGTTTGGGGGTGATAGGCAGTTGATAATCGATGTTTTACCCCAAGCTCATCACATAATGAATCTAACATTTCATTAACAAAATGGGACCCACGATCGGTTAGTATTTCTTTTGGGCACCCGTGGCGGCAGATTATGTCTTCATAGAAAAAAGACACGACCGAAGAGNGAAGAAGCTTTTGCATCAGGAAGGGCTCGTGCCTCGGGCCATTTGGTAAGATATTCAGTGGCAACAACTATATACTTGTTGCCTTTCTTTGTTGTGGGAAGGGGTCCTACGATATCTATGCCTATCCTGTCAAAAGGCATTCCAACTTTGATCGGGTGTAGAGGTTCTACACGTCGATTTTTCCCCCTTCTTTGGCACTCGTCGCAAGTTCGTACATATCTACGAACGTCTTCGTACATCTGCGGCCAGTAATAGCGAACTTTTACTCGCCTATAAGTTTCGTCTAATGAAAAGTGTCTGGCCAGCGGATCCGAATGGGTAAAATGTAAAATTTCTCCAATTTCATTTTCTTTCACAACCTTAATAGGTCTATTTGGGTTGTTTTTATTTCTTTTGTATAACTGATCATTCAATACAATAAAATATCGAGCTTTTCATCTTATTGCATCCTGTTGTTTTTTCGTCATGTCTGTTGGTAATGATAAGTCCGTCAAAAATCGTATTAGTGAATAATATATGGTGGTATCCATTCCGTTAAGTCAATAATGGGAAATCCGTTAAGTGGCGTCAAAAAAGGCGTTAATCCGGTGTGTATATAAAAAAAATTAAAATATAGGTTGTATTAAACTCTTATTCGGCTTAGTGTATCGACGTTGGTGTGCTGTTTTCCGGGGCGGTTAATTATTTCCAAATCATATCCGTTAAGAGTCATCAACCATCTTCCGAGCTTACCAACAGGGTTCGACATGTTCATTAAATATCTTAAAGCGGCGTGATCAGTTACAACGGTAAATCGTTATCCGTGCAAATAATGATGGAAGTGCTTGACGGCCCATATAACCGCAAGACACTCCAATTCCGTAACACTATAATTCCGTTCATGCTTATTTAGAGTCCGGCTCGCATAAGTAATGACGCGTTCTTTTTTATCGTCATCCTTTTGGGATAATATTGCACCCAACGCAAAAGTAGAGGCGTCGGTATATAATAAGAACGGTCTTTCGAAATTAGGATACGCCAATATAGGTGGCGTTGTTAAACAAGTCTTCAATTTCTCAAACGCGGCTTGTTGATCTTTATCCCAAATATATGGGATGTTTTTCTTTAATAACCTATTCAACGGTTCAACAATAGACGAGAAGTTCTTCATGAACTTTCGGTAATACGAGGCCAGCGCAATGAATTCTCTTAATTGCGTTAAGTCTTTCGGAATAGGAAATTCGTTGATGGTGCGTAATTTTTCAGGATCGGTATGGATGCCTTTTCGGCTCACCACATGTCCTAGGAAAGGAAGTTCTTCTTTAAAAAAGAAACACTTCCCAGGACTTAATTTTAAACCGGCCTTCTCTAGACGTGAGAAAACCTATTCCAGATGTACCAAATGCTCTTCGAAGGTTTTTGATCCTACATTAATGTCGTCGATGTATACTACAGTGAACTGCCACAGGATGTCTCATAACACCATATCCATTAGACGTTGAAAGGTTGCGGGAGCGTTACAGAGGCCAAAGGGCATCACGGTAAACTCATACGTCCCGAACCTGGTGATGAACGTTGATTTTTCCCGGTCTTTTGGGTCCAATTCGACCTGCCAAAAGCCACTGGCAAGGTCTAAGGATGAGAACCATCGAGACCCTGATAATGTTTCCAACATATCGTCTATTCGTGGTAAAGGATAACAATCCTTTTTAATGACCTTGTTGAGTTTCCAATAATCCACACAAAGGCACTTCTTCCCGTTCTTTTTTTCTACTACAACCACGGGAGAAGTCCATTGACTACTTGATGGCACAATTAGACCGACCTCCAAGAGTCGTTGTATTTCCTCTTTGATGAACAACTGATTCTGATGTGACGTCCGGTAGAACCTTTGCTTGATAGGAATCGCACTTCCAGTATCAATATTGTGTGTAACCACCGATGTCCGACCAAAACCATTTGAACTCCACGCAAACAGATTATTATATTTTTTTATAAATTCATCAAACTTCTGTTGCTGGTCTTCATCCAGATTTCCAGTATGGAACTTTCTGATCTCAGTTTCCTTATACTGATAATAATAATCGTTTTCAATCAGAGCCGTTCCCCTTAATCCATCTTCGATTTCCTGAGCTTCCTTTTGGGTGATGAACTGTGTATGACAATATAGCTGCTCTTGAGTGGTTTCATCTTCACTCTCGTATTCTTCATCAGAATCTTCTATAGCTTCATCATCCGGTTCATCGTCTGGTTCCTTATCGGGTTCGATATCCGGTACTTCGATACTGATGATGTGATGTGGCATTTCCCGACATTCGGTTGATACTTTAATTACATCACCTTTCCATTTGATTGTCATAGTATCATTATCATAATCCAAGACGGCCTTAGTTTTTCGCAACCAGTCATTTCCGACTATCGCTGCGTAAGAATCAGCATCAGTCACAATAGCATCCATAGGGATGATCTGATCATGTATCTTTAGAGGAATATTCGATACGGCTCCTAGTGGTCTTCGCCGTTCTCCGTTTATGTTTACCATCACCGTTTTAGATGCTCTACATCAGGAAATTATATAGTGCGAAAAGTTGCGCAAGTTTACACATCATAATATTTCGTAAGCTTCCAGACCCGCCGCAAGTTTGCGTAAGCGTAATATTTCGTAACTTTTTAAAATATTTCGAAATATTACGATATGCAAAGCTTCGTAATTTTACGATTTGTAATATTCCG